TTATCCCACCCCATCCCATGGATCCCATCCCATCCCCATTATCCCATCCCATCTCCATTATCCCACCCCATTATCCCATTGATCTTATCCCGTCCCACTCCATCCCATGGATCCCATCCTATCCCCATTATCTCATCCCATTATCCCATTCCCATTATCCCATCCTATGGATCCCATCCCATCCCATTCCATCCCACTGATCCCATCACATCCCCATTATCCCATTCCATCCCATTGATCCCATCCCGTGGATCCCATCCCATCCCATGTCTCCTGTGCAGAAATGACCTGGGACTGGGACAGGGAACAGAGACAGGGACAAGGACAGGGAACAGGGAACAGGGACAGGGACAGGACAAGGTCACGGCGCGGGGATCCGGCCGTGGCTCAGCTCCGACGGGAGGAACTCGATCGATTCCCGAGGCTTGGAATGGGATGAGCCGGGACCCGCCGGGGTCACCCAGCCGTGGACAAGCACCTGGGACTAATTGCTCGAAATAAATGAGCAATTAAGGAGCGCTCCGGCAAGACTGGAACATCCCAGACCTCTGGCTGACCCCCGGGCTGTATCCCTGGAAACGGCCGGACCGGGATGCTCAGCCCGGCGGCTCCCGGTGGGATCGGGGCCCTCCGAGCCCCCCCGGCGGCGGAAGCGGCTCCGGCCCCACGGCCAGCGGGGCAGGCGACACTGAAGTGCCTTTGTCCGGCGGAGGATGGGAATTGTCCCGGGAAGGGCAGGATTTACCAGGGAAGGGCAGGGTTTGTCCCGGGAAGAGCAGGATTTGTCCCGGGAAGGGCAGGGTTTGTCCCTGGAAGGGCAGGATTTATCCCTGGAAGGTCTGGATTTGTCCCGGGAAGAGCAGGGTTTGTCCCGGGAAGGGCAGGATTTATCCCGGGAAGGTCTGGATTTGTCCCGGGAAGGGCAGGATTTACCCGGAGCGGTCACGATTTGTCCCGGAACAGGCAGGAATGGGAGGATTTTGGGGGGTTTTAAGGGATTTTGGGGGTCTCCCCCTCCGGGCCGGGTTCTCCACTTTCTGTCCCCTCCAGGACATTAAACCCGAGCCCAAATCTCTGGGAGGAAATGGAAAGCTGCGCAATTCCAGAGCTGGAGGGAAGGTCCGAGGCTCTCCCGCAAACGCAGGGGATCGGGTTAGGATTCATTAAATCATTAATTCTCTTTTAATTGCAGCTCCTGATGGCCACGCCGCTTTACCTGCGCGGGGGCTGGGGGGGTGACACGGGCGGCACCGGGGGTGTCCCCGCGCCCCGGGAATGCCCCCAGTGCCCCGGGATCGCCTTTGGGTGCCCAGACCCCTTCGCTCTGCAAATTCCTCAAATTGAGGAAGAGGAGGGTGGGGAAAAGGAACCGCGGGGGCTGCGGGATTTGGGGGGGGGGGCTGAGCTTTTCCCGGCCCCGATTTCCTTGGAGTTGACAATTCCCAGCCCCAGGAGCCTTCCCGGAGCGGGGATGATGCGGCGGCTTCCAGAGGGAGGAGAAAACTCGGTTAAGGGCTGAGAACCATCGGGGAGCAGCGAGAAAACCGCGAGCCGCGGGGACCCCGGGCGGGGTGGTCCCGGTCCTGGTCCCGGTCCCGGTCCCTGTCATGATCCTGGTCCTCGTCCCACTTCGGTCCCGGTCCCGTTTCTGGTCCCCGTCCTGGTCCCGTTCCCTGTCCCAATCCCGGTCCCAGTCCCGGTTCTGGTTCTGCTCCCTGTCCCGATTCTGATTCTGGTCCCGGTCCCGGTTCTGATCCCTGTCCCGATCCCAGTCCCGTTCCTGGTCCCTGTCCCGGTTCCGGTCCCGGTCCCATCGCGGCTCCCTGGCACCGCCCAGCCCGGCACGGGGGGCTCAGATCGGGGCTGGACCCCAGATCCATCCCTGATGGAATTTGGGATAATCCCGCCGCTCCCCAAACCCTCCTGCACCCCAAATCCCCAAATCTGTCCCCGAATCATCGCCTGCGCCCACTCGGGGAGGATTTTTGGCTTCCCCGGGGCGAGTGGGGTGAAGCTGTCTGAGCCAGAGCCGGGCTGGGTTTTAAAGCAGATTAATTAAGCTGCAGCGCGGGGCCGTGTGGACAGAGTTCAGAATGCAAACAGCCCTAATTCGATTTCTCTGACTTGCAAATCGCGGCAGGCAACTCTGCCCAAATCACATTAAGGCTCTTTCCACTCCCAGCCGCGTCCTCGCAGGCCTTTAATGCAGTTTTCAGTAATTTAATTTAAACGTTTATTGAGCCTAATTCGGGTTTGTGTCGGGCGCGGGGCTGGGCTGGGACCCCCGGGAAGGGCCGGGACCCCCCCCCAGGAAGGGATGGGGACCCCCGGGAAGGGTTGGGACCCCCTCGGGCTGGGCTGGGACCCCCGGGAAGGGCCGGGACCCCCGAAATTCGGGAGTGGGATCAGTGCCGTCCTCATCTCTCTGCTCCCAGACCAACCCCACAGCGGATTTGGGGTGGAAAAAAATCTCATTTCTGCCAAACCCTCCAGGGCGTGGCCGTGGCCTGGAGTCCCCGCGGGTCCCCCCCCGATCGCGGGGTCCCCCCCGGTTCCCCCCGGTCCCGGATTTCGGCTCTCGGAGCTTTTTTGCCGCAGGCTTTGGGGAGCGGGGGGTGGAGAAGAGGCCGCGCTTTGTTCCCGGGGGGACAATGAGCTCTTCTGGAGCTGCCTGCGCTGCCCGCCAGGAAATGTCCCCCAAAAATGTCCCGCGAGCTCGGGAAAGGCTCAGGGAGGGGCCCGGCGCTGGTTTGGGGTGCGGCTCCACAGCCGTCACCCAATAATGGGGTCCCAGCTCAATTTTGGGGTG